ATGGCAACAGAACATTCTCATCATCTGACCCTGTACTCTGGCACTCTTGGTCAACCGAAATTACAAAAATATAATGTTCAAGACTGCTCATAATCACTTGCCAGTTTTCAAATATGTAATTTATTGTAACGAACCTGTGACTGCCAACTACATGTATGTTTTCTTTCCCTTCAAATTTTGTTGAATCTTACTTTGTCATAGAGTCAACTCTGCTCAGTCAAGTAATCGTAAGTCAAAGGTTTTTAAAGTCCTGCTCTTCATTTTCCATTGCTTTTTTTTACCCAAGTCAGATTTTGTCTAGGTGAAATCTATATTTTTTCTATAGTCCCAACGGATTCGACTATGACAGAGTGAAGTGTACATGTCACTAATTTGTTTAAAGTGAATGGAGAACAATTATTATTATCATTATTATTGATCTAGCAATTATGCAATTGATAGAAAGATCTTCACTTCACACCACCTTCTACACCATCCAGCCACGCACAATAAATATAAAGTATAATATAAGGATTAAATCAATTTCAAATAATTGGATTATAAGTATTGTTTTATTTAAAAAACAATGTACAGAAAAAAAAACATGACTGCATAATTGTCTTAATTTTAAAGATACAGTACATGTATTAGGTGACTGATTTGCATGAATAAAATTCAATAAAAGGAGTACACAAAAAAATCAAATAGTAACATTTTTTTGTTGTTCGGAGTTGAACTAGCTACAAATATTGTCCCCCTTTTATTAGTTAGTGTAATTTTAAAACCATTCATATTCCTCAAAAACCTGCAGATTTCATTGATTATTATCCTGCACCCAATTCTCACAATACATCTGAAGTGATTGCACCTGTTTTACGTGCATCATAATATGTGTTTCTATGATAAAGACATCATTTTATTCTTTTTGTGTGTGCCTTGAATTTACTTTTTTATGTATGTTTATAAGGTTCTTGCAAGCACTGCATCACTAATCAGCATGCCTGCAAAATGCATAAAATTGTTATGCTTTTGGTTCCAAAAATATGCTGAGAAAAACCCTATTTTTAAAAGTTATTTCATAAATATTTCTTGAAATTCTTTTACTATTCAGAAAAATATCTTACATAAATATTTGAGGTTATATTTCATATTAATTTCAGAGTCCTTTTTTTGGTTGCATTATTGGAGTGTTCCAAAACTGGGCAAAAATATAAAACAGGGGAAACGCTCTCGGCGGTGTCACCTGCATTACACAATTCAATATGATTAAAAATTGAGGTTAGGACATTATTTATAGGCAGGGTGGCCCGTTAGCAGGCCCCCCAAATTGAAATCCTCTGAATACAATCGGCATTTGAAGTGAATATTGACTTACAATCACCAAAGGAATTATTTACTCTAATTTTTACCAAGATTGATATCTTTAATGAAATAGGAACAAAAACCAAAAATTGATTTATTAAGTCTCATATTAAGTTGTGAAAACATAATCCAAGTCTACTGACCTAAAATATCCTTGACTTTGTGACCTGGAATTTGTGTCATATGATTTGTGATACTTGATAATCCTTGGGTACAAGTTTCATGGAATTTAAACAAACACTTTTGAAATCATGATAACATTAAACAGGTCAACGCAAAGCGTAGCATCCCCTCGGAGGGTACAAATGGCCTATATACATCAGAACATTGGATTATTAATAGGCAAGAAACCACAATTTCACATATATAATTAGGTGTTTTGCATATTTAATGAGCTATGATTGGTGATACTTATTAACCCTTATGTTCAAGTTTCATGGAATAGGAATGTATACAAAATTATGATAAAAATTCAAAATCTTAACCTTTGGTCAAGTTTTGATGTTGATGCTACAACATACTTGAGTCAAAGTTTGTTCACCTGAAATGACCTTTGACTTTGCAACCTTAAATTCTACTCACATGATTGGGGATACTTTACAACCCCTATGTTCAAGTTTCATGGAAGAAGATTATACACTTTTAAAATTATGTTAAAAATTCAAAAACCTAACCCCGGGTTAAGTTTTTGATCATGATGCCACAACAGTCTAATTGTTTAAATCTGAAATGACCTTTCACCTTGACTTTGTGACCTGAAATTGTACTCACATCATTGGAGATTCTAGATAACTCTTTAATCAATGTTTCAGTGAATAAGAACTTACACTTTAAAAAATTCAAAAACTTAACCTGTTGACGCCGCTGCCGTCAACGGAAAAGCGGCGCCTATTTCCAAGTATATTTTGTCCAAATATATGTTTTGATAAATATTCTTACTAGTATTTTGAAGTTGCAAAAGAACTTTGCCACTAATTCTCAAAATATCTTCCTTATTATGTGGGGGGGGGGGGGCCTATCAAAGATTCACTTTGTTTGTTTAGGCATGTTCCATTTTGTCAAATTTGGAATAATAATTTGCCCATGATATCTGGGCGAAAAACGTATGTAAATGTATTGAAATCAATTTCCTAGTAATCATGGCACAATCAGCATAAATACGATCTAACAATATTATCAAATAATGGTAATAATAGCATACGGTACTTATATAGCGCATATCACAATATGTCTCTATGCGCTGTAGGAAAGAGTAAGAAGGAAAGGTGGATAGATTAACATAAGAGAAATTTAAGATATGCTCAACATACTAGGCTGTATAGAGGAGGTGCTAGGTTGGATGAAGTTAGTGTAATTAAGTTTAAATGATGGAGATATAGTTATTTTTCCAAGGCTCAATGGAGGGGGTGCTAGGCTGTATAGAGGAGGTGCTAGGTTGGATGAAGTTCGAACAAGTTTAAATGATGGAGATAATATTTCTAAGGCTTAATATGGAGGGGGTGCTAGGCTGTATAGAGGGGGTGCTAGGTTGGATGAAGTTCGAACAAGTTTAAATGATGGAGATAGATGGAGTTAATATTTCTAAGGCCTATTATGGAGGGGGTGCTAGGCTGTATAGAGAGGGTGCTAGGCTGGATGAAGTTATAGTGCAATTAAGTTTGAATGATGGAGATATAGTTATTTTTTCAAGGCTCAATGGAGGGGGTGCTAAGCTGTATAGAGGAGGTGCTAGGTTGGATGAAGTTCGAACAAGTTTAAATGATGGAGATAGATGGAGTTAATATTTCTAAGGCTCAATGGAGGGGGTGCTAAGCTGTATAGAGGAGGTGCTAGGTTGGATGAAGTTCGAACAAGTTTAAATGATGGAGATGGATGGAGTTAATATTTCTAAGGCTTAATATGGAGGAGGTGCTAGGCTGTATAGAGGAGGTGCTAGGTTGGATGAAGTTCGAACAAGTTTAAATGATGGAGATAGATGGAGTTAATATTTCTAAGGCTCAATGGAGGGGGTGCTAAGCTGTATAGAGGAGGTGCTAGGTTGGATGAAGTTAGTGTAATTAAGTTTAAATGATGGAGATATAGTTATTTTTCCAAGGCTCAATGGAGGGGGTGCTAGGCTGTATAGAGGAGGTGCTAGGTTGGATGAAGTTCGAACAAGTTTAAATGATGGAGATAATATTTCTAAGGCTTAATATGGAGGGGGTGCTAGGCTGTATAGAGGGGGTGCTAGGTTGGATGAAGTTCGAACAAGTTTAAATGATGGAGATAGATGGAGTTAATATTTCTAAGGCCTATTATGGAGGGGGTGCTAGGCTGTATAGAGAGGGTGCTAGGCTGGATGAAGTTATAGTGCAATTAAGTTTGAATGATGGAGATATAGTTATTTTTTCAAGGCTCAATGGAGGGGGTGCTAAGCTGTATAGAGGAGGTGCTAGGTTGGATGAAGTTCGAACAAGTTTAAATGATGGAGATAGATGGAGTTAATATATCTAAGGCTCAATGGAGGGGGTGCTAAGCTGTATAGAGGAGGTGCTAGGTTGGATGAAGTTCGAACAAGTTTAAATGATGGAGATGGATGGAGTTAATATTTCTAAGGCTTAATATGGAGGAGGTGCTAGGCTGTATAGAGGAGGTGCTAGGTTGGATGAAGTTCGAGCAAGTTTAAATGATGGATAGTGATGGAGTTAATATTTCTATTGCTCAATATAATTAATGGAGGGGGTGCTAGTTACTAATATATGAGCGAGAACAATTAATGACTGAAGTTCTTCAAAATGAGACATATATATAGGCAGGCGCGTACGCAGGATTTTTTCAAGGGGGGGGTTTTAACATTTATAAATCGGTCCGAAAATTTCGCAACGACTCAGCCAGCCGCTGAATAAGCGGGGGGGGGGGGGGGGGGGGGGGGGGGGGGGGGGGGGGTAAGAGGACACATTTTTTTTTTTTTTTTGGTCCCAAAAAAATCGCAACGACTCAGCCGACCGCTGAATAAGCGGGGGGGGGGGGGGGGGGGGGGGGGGGGGGGGGGGGGGGGGGGGTAAGAGGACACTTTTTTTTTTTTTTTGGTCTCGAAATTTGGAAATTTGACATTTTGCTCCGTTGGGGGGGGGGTAAGGTCACCTTTTTTAGGTCGGCCATGGGAATAATTTTTTTTTTTTTTTTTTTTTTTTTAATAATTAAAAAAAAAAAAAAAAAAAAAAAAAAAAAAATCCAAAAGGGGGGGGTTTTAGGTTTTTTTTTAGGGGGGTTTACACACAAAAATTTTCCAAAGGGGGGGGTTTAACCCCCAAACCCCCCCCCCCCCCTGCGTACGCGCCTGTATATAGGTAGGTAGGTAGGTAGGTAGGTAGGTAGGTAGGTAAGTATATGTAGGTATATAGTCGGGGTGTAGGTACGGCCGTACGTACAACGAAAATAGATTATAGAGGCGACAACGTTAACATAGATACCCGCTAAATGGTAAGGGGTAGAGTAGGCGTGGCGAGTTCGTAGCGAGTTCGTGACGTCATATACTCATGTTTATTCATGAGGCCGCAATACGGTACCTTGGCACCTTAGTACGCTACCGACCGGCTTGGGGGCGACCTGACCAGACACCAAAACGGATATGGCTGACAACGACTACGAGATGAGACTTTCTCGGATTAGACTCTAATCATTAATTTTGGAGCTGAATAAGCAAGCTATCGTAAGTCAAAGTATATATTTAAGTTTTCGTTATTGTATAGATAACGGGGGTGTAGAATGGAAGAAAAATTACATTTGATGAAGACGTAAAAAGAGAAAAACCTCGGGAGCATTTCGTTCATCTCTGTTCGGTCACTCTATCCTCACGGTCCCCATAGAGGCCGTAGATCTAGAGTAAAACCGCCGAACTTCGGACACAAGTCAAAACGGGGGAAAACATTAAATTCTTTTTTAATTATTGAAAGATCATACAAGTCTAGTCTAGTCTACTATTATTGTACACATACTGTTTATGGTAGAGTGCCCAGTATTCGGTCACTTAAGGGGAAATCACTAATATTTTGAATTCTTAGTAGGGCCTAGAGTAAAGTACCCGGTAATCGGTCAGCTCCGGTTTTCGGCCAATTGGTTGGATACATGGTAAAATCACTTTAAAATACATCGCATAATAGCATAACACATATCCCACACATACCATACCATGCCAGTGTCACTGAAGAACCACATTTGCAATGAAAAATATATCCTAAAATATCACATTTTAGCGATGTAATCGGCGGTCCCGCTACCCAAATCTGAAAAATCGAGTTTCTTACGCGTGTATGTAAGAAATATGGGTACCATAAAATGAGCTTTATTTCAAGTATTTTTGAGATATAGAGCCCGATTTTGTGCTGGTCGCAAGCTCAAAAGTATCTCATCGCATGTATTAAATCAATGCAGCCGCACACCGCGACGCACACACGATATGTCCGTCTAATTCAGATTCCAACTTCCGATCACCGCTGTGCCTGTATTCGGTCAGGCGAGCACCCGGGAGCTCCGGCGTGGGATACCTGCTCCGCCCGCTTGTGCTATACATCAGCGCAGAAACGCACGGCGCGCGCGAGCGCTTCCTATTGACTTTGTACATGCGGCCGTAAACTGAAACGCTTGGCCGATAACCGGCTCCAAAACAGTGAAAATTGAAATGAATATTGTCATGGCAATTCGTGATTTTTTTTTGGATTCTTTTTTTGTTTAAATAATAATAATATTTGCTTCATGATTTGAACAAGAAATGATAATAAATAGGAAGTAAAGAGTCCAATAAATAGGATTTTGTCTTAAGTGGCCGAAAACCGGGTACTTTACTCTAGAGTAAAGGAGCCCGTTTTCGGCCACTTAAGACAAAATCCTATTTTTAGGACTCTTTACTTCCTATTTATTATCATTTCTTGTTCAAATCATGAAGCAAATATTATTATTATTTAAACAAAAAAAGAATCCCAGAAAAAAATCACGAATTGCCAAGACAATATTCATTTCAATTTTCACTGTTTTGGAGCCCGTTATCGGCCGAGCGTTTCAGTTTACGGCCACATGTACAAAGTCAATAGGAAGCGCTCGCGCGCGCCGTGCGTTTCCGCGCTGATGTACAGCACAAGCGGGCGGAGCAGGTATCCCACGCCGGAGCTCCCTGGTGCTCGCCTGGCCGAAGACGGGCACAGCGGTGATCGGAAGTTGGAATCTGAATTAGACGGAGATATCGTGTGTGCGTCGCGGTGTGCGGCTGCATTGATTTAATACATGCGATGAGATACTTTTGAGCTTGCGACCAGCACAAAATCGGGCTTTAAATCTGAAAAATACTTGAAATAAAGCTCATTTTATGGTACCCATATTTCTTACAGACACGCGTAAGATACTCGATTTTTCAGATTTGGGTAGCGGGACCGGCGATTACATCGCTAAAATGTGATATTTTAGGATATATTTTCCATTGCAAATGTGGTTCTTCAGTGACACTGGCATGGTATGGTATGTGTGGGATATGTGTTATGCTATTATGCGATGTATTTTAGAGTGATTTTACCTTGCATCCAACCAATCGGCCGAAAACTGGAGCTGGCCGATTACGGGCTCCTTTACTCTAGAGTAAAGGAGCCCGTTTTCGGCCACTTAAGACAAAATCCTTTTTTTAGGACCCTTTACTTCCTATTTATTATCATTTTTTGTTCAAATCATGAAGCAAATATTATTATTATTTAAACAAAAAAAGAATCCCAGAAAAAAATCACGAATTGCCATGACAATATTCATTTCAATTTTCACTGTTTTGGAGCCAGTTATCGGCCGAGCGTTTCAGTTTACGGCCGCATGTACAAAGTCAATACAAAGCGCTCGCGCGCGCCGTGCGTTTCCGCGCTGATGTACAGCACAAGCGGGCGGAGCAGGTATCCCACGCCGGAGCTCCCTGGTGCTCGCCTGGCCGAAGACAGGCACAGCGGTGATCGGAAGTTGGAATCTGAATTAGACAGAGATATCGTGTGTGCGTGGTGGTGTGCGATGTGCGGCTGCATTGATTTAATACATGCGATGAGATACTTTTGAGCTTGCGACTAGCACAAAATCGGGCTCTAAATCTGAAAAATACTTGAAATAAAGCTCATTTTATGGTACCCATATTTCTTACAGACACGCGTAAAATACTTGATTTTTCAGATTCGGGTAGCGGGACCGCCGATTACGTCGCTAAAATGTGATATTTTAGGATATATTTTTCATTGCAAATGTGGTTCTTCAGTGACACTGGCATGGTATGGTATGTGTGGGATATGTGTTACGCTATTATGCGATGTATTTTAGAGTGATTTTACCTTGTATCCAACCAATCGGCCGAAAACGGGAGCTGGCCGATTACGGGCTCCTTTACTCTAAGTTAGTCTTGCCTCTTTTATTGGCAATCTAGTAAAGGAGCCCGTTTTCGGCCACTTAAGACAAAATCCTATTTTTAGGACTCTTTACTTCCTATTTATTATCATTTCTTGTTCAAATCATGAAGCAAATATTATTATTATTTAAACAAAAAAAGAATCCCAGAAAAAAATCACGAATTGCCATGACAATATTCATTTCAATTTTCACTGTTTTGGAGCCAGTTATCGGCCGAGCGTTTCAGTTTACGGCCGCATGTACAAAGTCAATAGGAAGCGCTCGTGCGCGCCGTGCGTTTCCGCGCTGATGTACAGCACAAGCGGGCGGAGCAGGTATCCCACGCCGGAGCTCCCTGGTGCTCGCCTGGCCGAAGACAGGCACAGCGGTGATCGGAAGTTGGAATCTGAATTAGAGAGAGATATTGTGTGTGCGTGGCGGTGTGCGATGTGCGGCTGCATTGATTTAATACATGCGATGAGATACTTTTGAGCTTGCGACTAGCACAAAATCGGGCTCTAAATCTGAAAAATACTTGAAATAAAGCTCATTTTATGGTACCCATATTTCTTACAGACACGCGTAAGATACTCGATTTTTCAGATTTGGGTAGCGGGACCGGCGATTACATCGCTAAAATGTGATATTTTAGGATATATTTTCCATTGCAAATGTGGTTCTTCAGTGACACTGGCATGGTATGGTATGTGTGGGATACATGTATGTGTTATGCTATTATGCGATGTATTTTAGAGTGATTTTACCTTGCATCCAACCAATCGGCCGAAAACTGGAGCTGGCCGATTACCGGCTCCTTTACTCTACCCATCAAAAGAAAAGAAATTTATTCCTCTAACAGTAGGGTGTCTGATCGCGCACCCGATGTTGTGTGCTAAAATTCTTCCCATAGAGATTACACGCATCCCTATGCAGCCTACGTGCATTGCGCGACCATGCAAAAAAAGTCAATTTTTTTTTTTAAATCGAGATTCAAACCTTTATCTGTTGTGATCCTGAAGGTGATAATCAATGAATGAGGTGTCATATGAAAGAGCAGGTGAATTCCAATATTTCCAAAGGGGCGTAGCCCCCGAAATTCTAAAATATCTTGGTCAAAACAGCAATTTAAACATTGTGTCCTGGCTAACTCTGAGGTTTGTCACTTTTGAGATATGACGCCCCGATTGGTAAGTAGTCCCAGTCCTAAGGAACAATTCTATGTGATTATATTTTCGCTAGCCCCCAGGGATCACAACTGATAACAGTTTAAAAATACCCTTCTCGCTATTTGGTGGATCAGCTAATTAGGGGGCGTGCGCTCCGCTCAGTCCAAACCATGGTTACATCGCGTAACATCTCCGCGCACGAACGAAACCCCAAATTCAATTACACATTATAGTGACTGAAATTATGGTTGGCAATTCCCTCGATAAACCCGGAAGTGAATACACGTTATAGTCAATGGCAATATCGCGGAGATATTGCCACGATATTGCCATTGACTGCAACGTGTATTCACTTCCGGGTTCTACGGCGGGAATTGCCAACCATACTAGTCAATGGCACATATCGCGGAGACAGCGTGGCTCAAGCTGCAAGTCGCGCATTGGCTTAGCAACATGCGTACTATATGCATACGCTTGCATATCGCGCGATACAGCTGTTTGTCTGAATTTAGCAAAACAACATCACTCTGCGTGGACGTCTTTTTCGTCGATTTTGACCAAAATGATATGAATATACCAGCGCTTTGGAGGGGCTGTAACTTTTGATAGAAACGTCGGTGAGACTTGAAATTTGAAATGTATTATTCTGATAACATTTTTTATTCAAATATCAAACAAAAATGGTGAAAAACGATCCCAAATTGACAATTGAAAAATCGTTCAGACACTCTATTAAAGGTAGCCACAGTAGGTGCAGACACTATGTCGTTAGATAAGCTGTTCCAAGGTTGGACCACTCGATTTGAAAAAAAGTGGCCAGCTAGTTTTGTGCAAGTACGTCTTTGGTAAAGTTTTTTAGTATGACCTCTTAGATCTTTGTTTGGAGCAGAGAAGAACTTTTCTGAACTATTCCTATATATACTGTATCATGGAGATATTTAAAAGACTAAGTATCAATCAAATCTGTCTTCTGTCTCCTCTCCTGTAAGGACACTATCTTAGTCTTGGTCTCGTTACTACAAAGACGTATACACCTCGTCTGCACCTTCTCTTATGTCTCAATATCTTTCTTAGTGTAGGGGCTCCAAGCTGTTGAAGAGAATTCCAACGCTGGTCTCACAATTGATTGGTAAAGAGTCAC